CCTTTATATATGTGAATACTGGAACATTATATCCTCCAGCCACTTTACCAGCCATTTTTTAGGTACACCATGCTAGTGCCAAGAAAATATCACCCACACCATTACACCACCACCAGCCTGAACTGTTGATACAAGGCAAGATGGATCCATGCTTTCATGTTGTGTATGCCAATTTCTGAATGTCGCAGCTACCAGTGTGCCATTCTCCTCTGACCTCTGATATAATTTCTGTCCACACAACTGCTGCTAACTGGATGGTTTCACTTTTTTGAACCATTCCCTGTAAACTCTAGAGATGGTTGTATGTGAAAATCCCAGTAGATCAGGAGCTTTTGAAAAACTCAGACTAGCCTGTCTGGCACCAACAACCATGCCACATTAAAAGTCACTTAAATCCCCTTTCTTCCCCATTCTGATGCTCGGTTTGAAATTCAACAAGTAATCTTCACCATATCTATATGTCTAAATGCTTTGAGTTGCTGCTATGTGATTGGCTGATTAGCAATTTGTGTTACCGAGCAATTGAACAGGTGTACCTAATTAAGTGGCTGGAGAGTGTAGATCTGGAAAGTCAAAAGAAACTTACATGTTCTTATCTAAATGCCTGTTCTAGTTCAGTGACTTGCACTATGGAAGCAAGAGGATCCGTATGAGCACTAGGCAACTAAACATTTTCAACAGAGGTCAGCAATGGACACGTGTTGTCTATTACAGATTTCCTTTAAAGGGTTAATTCACCTGTACCTGAAAACTGCCTAAGGGGTGCCTTTAGAAAAAAAACTGTGCAGCTTTGACTAAAGTTAAATAAAGCCCTTACTATAGATTTTGGGCATTTATGTACCTCCCTAGGCCTGGCCAAGCCCCCCCCCTCCCCCCCCCAGAGATGGCATCATCTCATCCTGCCTTGTTGTTAGGATGTTACTAAGACATTCCCATCCGATTCGACTCAGACCCCCTTGAATGCTCTCCCACTCCCCTGTCATAGTGGCTGTGAACCAGCAAAGCTGTGATGGAGAAGGTAGTGGACCACGTGTGTGAGGGTTTGAGAGCTCACTTCTGTGATGATGGGATTGTCTTAGCAAATCCTAGCAAAAAGGCAGGACAGAGTGATGCTATCCTCTGGGAGTTTTTCAGCCAGGTTTCAGGTGGTACCTAAAATAGAAGTTCAGAAATTTAAAAAAATAATGTACTCAGCTAGGCGGATGCAACATTGGTCCAATGGTGCATCTGTCCTCTGCTGCCTCTAAACCGAGAACAAAACGATTAAAGATCGCTGATCGCTCAGTTCTCGTCTTCATTGAGTATAGGGCCAGTGACTGTTAGCTCTCTACTCTGTACTCAGTGCACACTGGAGCGCCGGGCTGTTGAAGGGGCGAGAGAGACTGGCTCAGGTTGCCAGTAGCCTTTAAAGTAGGGACCTCTCCAAAGCCTAGATCAGCTCAGTGATGTTAGACAATAGTGGACATAAAGAGGTAGTAAACTGAAAAAAAAAAAGGGTCCCCTGCAGGTTTTTGACATAAAATGCTAGTATGCACCGCTTACTAGCACATCATGACAGACTTACCTGCAGACAAAGCTCTCCAGTGCACCACTGTCACAGCTCCTCCAGTGTTTCCACCTTCACACGGTATTCCTTCCAGGTTTGCGGGCTCTGGCTGTTTGAATGGCCAGGGCCATGATGACATCACTCCCACATGGCCATGGCTTAGCACTCTGCATTGCACAGCATACTGTATGCCCTAAATGCAGAGCATCACTGCGCATGCGCGGGTGACATAATCAGCTTTTGCCGATGTGAATATCTCCTAAACCGTGCACATTTAGGCGATATTTATTGTACATTGTAGGTACACGTTTAAATACAGACTTTACTACAACTTTAAGCCCACTGTCGGCTGACCATGGGTCACAGGCAGAGCTGCTGTTAGAAACCATGGGCCCCATATAGCCAACCTGACAGGGCCCCCCTAAAAAATAACAAAAAAAAAAAAGTTTTCTTTGCTTTATGCATAGAATTGCAATTATGAATGAACACAGTGAGTTATCAATACTGATCACTCATTGTGTTCATTCGGGAAAGAAAGGGACTGGTAAATGTGCCATTCAGTATTCACCAGACTCTTCCCTCTTTCTCCATCCATCCTGAAGGAGGAGGGGCCCCCTTATCCACAGCCCTGGTCACAGGAGTGCTGAACGAAGTGCACTTCTGTGACCTACAGAAGGAATATAACCAAAAGAACTTGGCCCCTACTTTTCCTTTAAATGTCCTTCACCTATAGCAAGGCATTGTCCAAACTGTGGTAAAAAGCTGAACAGTTTGTTTTTATCTACAAATGCCCCTTACCTGCCTAGGCAGTTTTTGATAAAAGTGAACCAACCCTTTAAGCAATAGAGTTTGTTGCAGTTTTCACAGAATAGAATTATATTTGTTCTTTATTTTTAGCCAATACTTGTCTGATGCCAGTACACAGCAACTAAAAATAATATCATATTGACAGCATCCAGATAAACTGCGGATAAAGAGCTTATAAAGTGTTCTATATTTGTAAAAATCTAAAATACATTCTTATTGCCACATTCCATTTCACTCTAATACACGGAAAAAGATGTTTTATTTCCCATCTTAAAGATCAAGAAGCAGCTGTCGCTGCAAAAATAAACATCAGAAAGACAAAAATAAACTTTTATGAGACAATAGGAGGAGAATGATCAGCCACATCAATTTCACCCAGCAGCTGCTAACACAAAACAACAGTTTACTGATTGTGGATCATGTGTCAGGATTTTAATGCTGTTGATGTCTCTCAGATTGCCTGAACACTCCCATTTCCAGCTAGAACAACTCATAACAATAACACGCTGGACGCGTGAAGTGACGCCAGACACAAAATCTTACTTTATATGCTTTACGGCCATCAAATTGTGAAGCTAAATGGCAAAAAAATGACAGGAATTAAAAGCTTTTCTTGGAGCATGACAGATTTAGAAAGCTCAATAACACGAGCTCATTTGTTTTATATCCATATGGGAAGATAAAATGAAGCCTGGCAATAGCAGCATTATTAAACTTATACCCCTGAAACAAGTGTTACATGGCATACGGATGCCCCTGTGTGATTGCTAATTTTCAAATGATCATATATTACACATATTGACTATGGTATTTTCTCATCTACTCTGCTGCTATTAGGGCAATGGCAAAGTAATGTTTTCTCTAGGTAAAGAAATATTGGATATCTAACCTCCGATGAACTGCTTGTGACTTTGGAAGTTACATAGTTAGTCTGGCTGAAAAGAGACAAAAGTCCATCCAGTTCAACCATAAAAAAAAAAAAGTTATAATTCTATACCCACAGTTGATCCAGAGGAAGGCAAAAAAAAAAAAACCTAGCAAAGGATGACCCAATTTGCTCCTGCTGAGAAAAAAATTCATTCCTGATCCCCCGTGAGGCAATCGGTTATTCCCTGGATCAACTTTACCTATAAATGTTAGCATTCAGTTATATTCTGTGTATCTAAGAAATAATCCAGGACTTTTTTGAAGCAATCCACTGAGCTGTCCAGAACCAACTCTTGAGGGAGTCTAAAACCTTTCCGTGTTTGGAGATCAAATGTATTTTCCTCCAGACGTAAAGAGTGCCCCCTTGTCCTCTGTGATGACCTCAGGGTGAATAACTCTACACCGAGTTCACTATATGAACCACTGATATTGATATTGATCATATCCCCCCTTAATCTCCTCTTCTCAAGAGAGAAAAAGTTCAGTTCCTCTAATCTTTCCTCATAGCTGATCTCCTCCATGCCTCGTATCAGTTTAGTTGCCCTTCTCTGTACTTTCTCCAGTTCCCCAATGTTCTTTTTGTGAATTGGTGCCCAAAACTGAACTGCATATTCCAGATGAGGTCTTACTAATGATTTGATTAGTTCCATCGTGCTCATAGGACAGGAAAGGGGTCTCCATTTATACCTATGTTGAGCTGTTATTGGGGAACAGCTGGTGGAACTTGCTAGCCTGGATGCAAGTTATTTATTTATAATTTATTTATTACAAGTACTTATATATAGTGCTGTCAATTTACGCAGTGCTTTACATATATATTATTTATTATTTATTATTCCAGGTACTTAAATAGCACCGTCCATTTACGCAGCGCATTACACATATATATATTGTACATTCACATCAGTCCCTAACCCTCAAGGGGCATACAATCTAAGGTCCCTAACTCACATTCATACATACACATACTAGGGACAATTTAGACAGGAGCCAATTAACCTACCAGCATGTCTTTGGAGTGTGGGAGGAAACCAGAGTACCTGGAGGAAACCCACGCAGGCACAGGGAGAACATGCAAACTCCAGGCAGGTGATGCCGTGGTTGGGATTGGAACCAACGACCCTAGTACTGTCAGGCGGATGTGCTAACCATTTAGCCACTGTGCTGTATATTGTACATTCACATCAGTCCCTAACCCTCAGGGGATGTGCAGTCTAAGGTCCCTAACTTACATTCATACATACACATAATAGGGCCAATTTAGACAGGATCCAATTAATCTACCAGCATGTCTTTGGAGTGTGGGAGGAAAGGGGAGTACCCAGAGGAAACCCACGCAGTCACAGAGAGAACATGCAAACTCCAGGCAGGTGGTACCATGGTTGGGATTCGAACCAACGACCCTAGTACTGCCAGGCCATCTGTTAGATATACCAAAACAAAAAGCCTCAATCTTTTTACACTCACCTGTGTATATGAAAGGTGTAAGAGAACCTAAAAATCAATATATGTGTATGATAAAAAGTGAAAAATATATCTGTGTATATAAAGAAAAGCTGCTAACTTTGAGGGCAATATGTATTCTAATACATGTCTGCTAAAAAAAAATCCCAATACATGTAAATTAGTTGGTTTACATGAAAGTTATGGCATTTACAAATGGCGATATATATACTGGAATTTTTTCGTAATTTTCTTTTTTACTAGTAACGGCGGTGATCAGCGACTTATAGCGGGACAGTGGAGGGCCTTCTGACACTGGGGGGAGCTGACTTGTTGTCACTGACATCCCCAGTGACACCAATACAGTGATCAGTGCTAATAAAAAGCACTGACACTGTACTAATGACACTGGGCAGGAAGGAATTAACATGTGGGCGTTTGAAGGGTTAACTGTGTTCTTTTTCACAGTATGCTGTGTGTGTGCTTTCTACTGTAAGCACACTGCTTTGTATGGCTCTTCTATGCAGAGCCATACAAAGCAGTGTGCAGGAACTCACAGGCGAGAGAACTGTATTGTTTACATACAGTTGTGTCCCCCGTCGGTAATACTCGGTGATCACTGGGTGCCGGCGAGTAATCACAAGCTGGGATCCAGTGATTGACAGCCGAGCCCGCGCACCCTACCTGGAACTACAAAATCACGTATATATACCTTATTTTGTGCACCCCTGCCACCCTGTAGCAGTATTAAAAAGGTCTGAACACACTAGTTCCCCTTTAAGAGCCGGGATCAGCTTCAGGTAACTGGCACTCTGCTGTTCTCAACCACTTTAAGCAAGGCAGCTGTAAAATTCAAATATAGCTATTAGAGCAGCGGTTCTCAACCTGTGGGTCGTGACCCCCTTGGGGGTCGAACAACCCTTTCACAGGGGTCTCCTAAGACCATCGGAAAACAGATATTTCCGATGGTCTTAGGAACCCAGACACCGCTCCTCTATCAGTCTCCAGGCGGGTCCGCCCACATGCAGATACGTCCACATTTCCCTGGACCGCGATGTGTGCGCGGGATGACATGCCGCCCCTGTCATCTGGCCACATCCCCGGGATCACTCAACAACTCCTCGCCAGTGATTGGCCGCCGGAACTGTAGCTCAGGAGAGGCACACAGGCAGCCAATCACCAGCGAGGAGGAGGAGCCAAGCAGCAGCGCGAAGATCAAAGAAGATCGAGCGAGGGAGCGGCCGGAGAAGGAAGACAGCTGACAGGTAAGTGTCTGTAGCATGCAGATGGTGCTGCTGCAGCCAGGTAAGCTGGGGAGGGAGCGAGCCCAGGCTGGAGCAGGAGTCAGCAAGGTAAGTATCATTGATGTCAGTGGGAGGAATAGTGCCCCATCATTGGTGTCACTAATACCAATGATGGGGCACTATTCCTCCCACAGACAACAATGATGGGGCACTATTTCCTCTCCCCCCCCACTGACACCAACGATGGGGAACTATTCCCCCCCCCCCCACTGACACCCATGATGGGGCACAATTCCCCCCCCACACTAGTATCAATGATGGGGCACTATTCCACCCCCCCCCCCACTACTCCCACTGACACCAATGATGGGGCACTATTCCTCCCACTGACACCAATGATGGGGCACTATTCCTCCCACTGACACCAACAATGTGGCACCCACTATTCCTCCCACTGATACCAATGATGGGACACTATTCCTCCCACTGATACCAACAATGGGACACTATTCCTCCCACTGACATCAGTGATGTGGCACTACTCCTCTCACTGACACCAATGATGTGGCACTACTCGTCCCACTGCAAAATGACAGTTATGAAGTAGCAACGAAAATAATTTTATGGTTGGGGGTCACCACAACATAAGGAACTGTATTAAAGGGTCGCAGCATTAGGAAGATTGAGAACCACTGTATTAGAAGATCTAAAAGGAAAAACTGATCATGCTCTCTGTATTCTTCAAAAGTCGCCTCTCGACGTAACTCGTAGGGCGGAGCTCTTTTAGTAGGCATCAGACTGGAGTTGAGGAGAGTTGTGTCCTGTCTGCAGCCCGACCTGTCCTGACATCTAAGCTGTCAGCCAGACACTGCAGGGAGTGGTGAGCTGCGGGATTTCATTCCGCTCTGTGTATTGTTAAGCCTGCTTATACCTTACATTGTGAGTGCTGGTTTAAATGCTGTCAATAAAGTAGTTTTGGATTTAAAACCCTATAGTATCTGTTTTTTTCCTTTTTGTATCCTCTGTCAGGATCTGTTAGATATAATGCCTCCAGCTCTAAGTATATTTTTTTGTATTCAATGTAGCTACAGGTCCAGTAGAGTGTACATATAGGTATCTGTTTAATGTCAATTTCAATGGTATCTGCTTCAGGGCCATCTAAGGTTATTGAATTCATTAAATTATTATTAGAATTGATTAAAAAAAAAGTAGAAAATGGCTTACATTTGACATTTTAATTGATTTGATAAGTTTCAGTTGCTGCTGTTGTGATTTTGCTTGCATTTACATTGATTTGTCTGGGAAAAGAAGCAGTTCTAATGCAGCAGAATCTGACATGCTGCATCAACTAAAACATGTAGTAAAGCAAACCCAAGTCATAACTGTTCCATAAAATACAGTAAAAAAAAAATAAACATTACCTCCAAATCTATTCAAACCTGCAAGTCAGAAGCCAAAAAACAAACACCTGTGTACACAAACCCTTCCAGAGACTGATGAAAACTATATATCTGCATGCTCAGTCCCTTAGACAGCCAATCTGAGATTGGAAACTGCTAGGCAAAATGGTTAAAGGGAAAATATCTTTCTTTTTTCTGATTTGGTTCATCTAACTGTACACGAATTAATATTTCAATATTCCTCATAAAAATATAACCCTACATATGTTATTTGCACAAGCGTATATTTACATTGGAAAGTAGCTGTGCAAAGCGGGCCATGCTCCTATGGAAAAGGAAAAAGGGAATTTTGTTTTTTTTCGAAATTCTCTTTGAAAAGTCTGGAGAGATTTCTAGAAAGGCAATGCCTATCCACCTAGGGACAGGCAGAAAAAGTTCAGGGAATTCCATGAAGGCGCTAAGGTCAGCCTTATTTTACAATGGAAAACTTTGATTAGCGCGAATATAATTGGATATACATTATTTATGCTTTATATAGTAGTGTTTGCCTTCCTCTCTTCCTCTTGTAGTTTCTAGGATCACATTACACATCTGTAGCTGAAATGTATGTAAACTGGTGCTGGTCATCAGCCCATTGTGACTCCCTAGAGAAATACAGGGAGAAATGCTGAGTTCTATGGCAAGAGCAGTTATTATTATTGTTATTATTAATAAAAAAGGAACAGTTGGTAAATTGTTGCCATCTTGTATTTTAAACTCACTGTAATAGGGGAGTAAGAGGTTAGTACAGTTAAAGCAAGAACGTAGAACAATGCTTTCCATTAATATATCCGGGAAAAATTGTAGCTATCCAAAATACAGAAATTCCATTTAGTTTATCTTACTTTAAAAACCCTCACCATATTGCCTGCTGCTATCATCCTCCCCTCCAATCTCTGGCTCACTTACTTTTATAATTCATATGTATGCAAACGCAGATGTAAACAAGGGTCACTCTAGATATGCTTTCTAAATTTGTCTGGAATCACATGGTGGGAAGTAAGGCTACCATTTTTTTAGCAGTTTGTGGTGTGCCTCTCCAGTGATTACATGAGTACAGTGCAGTGGAGAAACCATTATTAATGGTCCCTGGTATATTATTTTATGCAGCCGTGTGTTTTTTTTTTTTTACACTGTACACAGCAGACTGCACATAATCTAAATGTACACAACACATTGTTTTTCTGGTCTGGGCCTGTGATGACTGCATTGAAAGCACAGGAAAAATAGGGCGGAAGTAAAAGGTTACATTGAAAAATTGCCCGATGACTCTGTTTAAAGAGCTAATCTGTTTTCTATCATCCTTGTAATATGTTTTATATGATTCTTCAGTGTTTTCTACTTTATATTTAAATTCATGAATGCCCTCTTGAACTCTAATGCTGTAGGAAAGTTTCCAAGGGAAGATTACGTGTAAAAGAAGACTATAACTGAACGCCGTTCCTTTTAGCAGTATTTACCCCTCAAAACCCCCTAGGAAAAGGACAGTTCTTGGAGTGTCAATCTCCTGGGCTTCTCGCAGTTCATACTGCTTCTTCCTGATAACTTCTACTTCATCACAGGATGTACTGTAGGTACGGGAAATGTGAGTATTCCCTGTTTTCTTTAACTGGTAAGCCTTCCATTGGGGAGTTTTTCTAAAGCAACAGAGATGCTTTAAAACGTCCTATAGTTCTTGAAGACATGTCCAAACTCTCTAACCTGACACACTACCAGCTCTGACATTTACATACTACTTGTGTGCAATGAAATCTAAATTTGCAAAACCTACCAATCAACTTTGTGAGATGAGAAGGAGAGACAACTTCCAGCTCATATACTGTATGCATAATGTGAAAAAATGATTTTATCATCACTACTTTTATTTTATGCTATCTTTTCAGAATAATACATGTAAGAATATAGAGGGTTAATGAAACATTTTGTAGAGGTCTATACATCAGTCCAAGAGGAGGGAAAGAGAAGAGGAAAGCAGGACCAAGGGATTCACATGACTTTCACTCAAATTTATTTTGGATTCAGGTGGAAAAATGTGAATCCTGGGTAAAACTTGTGTGAATCTTGTGTGAAAAAAATGTATAAACAGTGTTTAAAAATAAAGCAATCCTTCTAGCAGAAACGATCAAAGTGTTTTTTGTGGTCTAAGAGGTGAGTTTCATTCACTTGTAGATTTTACCCACTACAATGCTGATAAACAGTGACAAATGGTGGGTGAATAGATTTCTATCTCACTCGGCATGTGTACTATGTATGATTTATAGTACAACATGTCAGAATCACTGACGGGTTCAGCATAGAATTAAAGATCAAGTACATGAAGACTGACCCTAGCAATGAACCTGGGAGCTTGATGTACATATGAACCTAGTAAAAAAAAAAAAAGTGTAAAATGTATTTGCAGTAAAGACAAGGCAGAACGTACTGTAGCTATTCTGTAGTTTTAGGTGTATAGTCTGCATATCTGTATATGTATTTAAAAAAAAAAATAAATTATATATATATCAGCATACATGAGTACACCCCAGCAGATTTGTCAGAAAACCTTTAGTTTCCTTTCAGAATTAACTTTTTCTATGGGACACTATACTACAAAATACTCCCACAAATGCGGGCCATTGATTGCAAACAAGATTTGTTAATTTGCACACACAAAAAAAGTATTTTTTTCTAACAAATTCATTTAAGACCATATTGCAAAAATGTATACACCCCAATGAAAGTCTTAGGATCAAATCTAAATTTTAGACAAAAAAATCCTAATTAAGAAGAATTCAACTACAACTGAGTCTAAATATGTATTAAACAGGTGTCCAGCAGACAGCTGATTATAAAAAGGCGTTACTTAACAAAGAAAACCCCTTCCCATTTCATGCTGTCGGCAATGACACCACATGGAAGAGAAATGTCACAAGCCCTGGGAAAGAAAATAATTTCTTTATACAAGAAAGGTGAAGGCTACAAGAAAATCAGCATCTTCTGATGAGAAGGGTTG